TGACCCAAAGCCCTTCCTTGTCTTAGAGATTGGTGCAAGGATATGCATGATCCGAATTGCTACAGTCGGTTTGTTGTATAAGAACTAATCCTCAGAAACAAAGCAGATCAAAGGCAGAGATAGTGGCTTGGTGTGACCCTTTGATGTCCTGCATCCAGACACAGTACTGGATTTCATAAGCCAATATATTATTCTCTTTTAATTTTTGCTTCAACTAGTTTGAGTTTTGGTCACTTGTCGAGGGAATACATGATTAATGCACACATAAGCAAGCCACCTTCCTCTAAGCATAGCTCTCAATAAGATATACCCATGCTATACAATGATGAGCCTCCTATCATCTGGAGGTGATCTGGGGCAGGGAGGGGGAAGACAAGAGAAGAGGCTGGGTCAGGAACCACAGTAGTCTCCCCCGTGTCTTATGGAGTTTGTTCTGTTGGAGTTCCTATAAGAATATTTCTTTGTTACAGAGAGAAGGAAGGCAAATTAGCTTACTACTCTTTCTATGTGACCTCTAATGAACAGCAATATTTTTTTTCAGACTTGATTAGTCTTTTTTGTTTTGTTTTTCGAGACAGAGTTTCTCTGTATTATTTTGGAGCCTGTCCTGGGACTAGCTTTGTAGACCAGGCTGGCCTCAAACCCACAGAGATCCACCTGCCTCTGCCTCCCAAGTGCTGGGACTAAAGGAGTTCATGCCACCAATGCCAGGCCCGATGAGAGTCTTTTTTAAAACCAATTTATTCAAGGTTTTTGTGAGCTCTTATTTTAAAGGGCTATGACAACCTGGAAGCATACGCTCTGCCAGTCTTTGATGTGCACTGCAACATGAGTAACAGCTCAGCAAAGCCAGGCCCATGCATCTTTCAACTACTTCTAAAGAGTGGCCAGAGGGACAGTCAGAGGGTATAACAGGGAAGAGGTGAGGTTTTCATTCAATTCCACAAATATTTCTAAAATGCCTCACTTGGGCTGTACTGCGTTAGACAGTACAGACACGGTGCTGGCTGTGCCTCCCATGGGCGAGGGTTGAAGTCAGTGGTGGATGATCAATGCAGTGCACCTGGGGGACTTCTAACCCAGCCGGGGGTAGTTTCACTGAGCACCACAGGGAAGACAATAGGGCTTAAAGTCCCAAAGAATCAGCTTGCCTAAGTGACAGAGGACTCACTGCAAACACAGAACGGAACAGTATAAGGTATTTTGAGAAGCCCCAACTGGTTCATTTTTGAATGGAGGGTGCTCTGAAAAGTGAGGGATGAAAGAGGCGACTGAAAAGGCAAAGGAGCAAAGCAGGAAGACTCCCCTTCACCAAGCAGCAGGCCTGAAGCTTCCCCAAAGGGGTCCTGATGGCAGTGTTAGCAGAGGAAGCAACATGCTCCCAACGGAATTGTAGAGAAACACCATACTGGCATCTCAAAGGGTAAAACAGGAAAAAGTCCATTCAGAGTGTTTGTGATAAAAGGGTAGATAGGAGTTCAAAAAGATCGATAGAATGAGACAGAGTTCAGGATCCCAAAGAAACCCTAACTGTTTCTTGGTCCAGTGATGCTCAACAAGGATGCCAAAACAATTCGGGGGAGAAAAGCACTGGCAGGCAATGGTGTTGGGACAGATGATGGCCATAACCAAAAGAATGGAGTGAGACCCCTACCTAACACATACACAGAAAATATTGCAAGGTGGATTGTAGGTACAAAATAGAAGAGCTCAAATTATATAGTTATTAGGAAAAAGAAACAGAAGTAATCTCTGTAGCGTTGGATTACGCGGTTGTTTAATTTGGACACCAAGAGCACAAACAACAAAAGAAAACATCAGGCTTCATGCAGATTAAAAAACACTATGCTTCAAAGGAACCTGTCAAGAATTTGAAAAGACGTATGAATTGAAAGGGTATGATGGAAGATGCCTTTAATCTCAGCACTTGGACAGAGGCAGGTGGATTTCTCTGAGTTCAAAGGCCAGCATTATCTACATAGCCAGTTTCAGACCAGCCAAGGCTACATAGTGCAACCCTGTCTCAGAAAGAAAGAGGAAAAGCAGGATAGGGGATGAAATTAGAAGGAAGAGGAGAAATGTAAAAGACCACACAGAGAATAAAAGAAAACAATTGTTAATCACATTCCCACACGTCTAAGAGACTAGTGTCCAGAATACACACTAATCAATAGTAGAACACGAGGAAAAGGCTTGAGTAAGCATTTCTTCACAAAAGATATACAAATGAGCAATAAACACACGAAGTCTTGCACCACTACTCACTGCAGAAACACAAGCTGAACTGTAAGGGGGAACTACTCCCCACTCACTAGAATGACTAAAATGGAAAGGCCAACAACAATAATCAATGACAAGGACAAAGAAAAACTGTTTTCCTCATAAAACCGCTGATGGGAATGTGTCAGTTGATGTAGACAATTCTTTTAAAAGCTATTGAGTACTTGATTTCATGTATGGGTGTTTTGCTTGCTTCTATGCTTGTGCATCGCAGGCGTGGCTGTGTTTATGCAGATCAGAGGAGGGTGCCAGGTCCTCTGGGACTAGAGTTACAGATGGTTGTGATTCACTACTTAGGTACTGGGAATTTAACCCCAGGCCTATGTGAAACAGAAAACAAGAGTGTCCATGTGTACTGAATCAACAGCTACTGGGGACTGAGTCCTGGTGGGTATAGGCCTCCAGGATGTGACTAGAAGCCAGCCGATGTGGGATCTGGTATAGCATGCCTTCTTGCCAGGCAGGTGAAAACATCTGTTATTGTGTTGGGTTACTTGCCAAATATGTCCAGAAGGAGACTAGAGCTTGGGTCTCTTTACTACATTGCAGTTTGCCAGAGTAAACACACCATTAACCTTGACCGTTCCTTTCCTTTAGACATTTGCCAGTATACATTCAGCACATGCAGGCCGATGTGTCCACCGGGGTGACCTTCTTAGGAAATCTGCTTTGGAACCCACTGACCAGGAAACCACAAGGCTCTGTGATGCCTCAACAGCCTGACCTCCGGGAAGCCTCAGTTTCCTGCGCAGCGTTTCCACATGGCCCCACATGGCCCCGTGGCGTCTACCTGAGAACAGATGGAGATGTCCAACCCACTTGGCTCCATTGGAGAGCCGGAGTGGAAGACTCCCCTTTCCTCAAAGGCCCTTGATGGGAGAAGACAAGGTTCTTCCAAGGCACTTTGCCAGTTAAAAATGGACCTAGCAAGGGAGTGCTTAGGCTTTGCTGAGAGCACAGATTTGAGTGATGTGGGGATTGCGGGATTGCAGGATTTGAGGATGAAGGTCCCTGTTCCAGGACACAAACATAATCAGGAGAGACAGGGCCTTTCAGCTTTCTGACTCCAAACAGGAAGAATTAGAGAGTAAACTTAAGGAAGCATTTACCTTCTATTTACCTGTTTGAGAAGCCTCACACCTCTGTTCCTTGCCTTTGATTGTTTTGTCTGCCTATTTCCTGCTAAGAGTTGACAAAACAGCACTCCTGAGAAGGAAGATAAGAAGCTCCCATTTGCTGAATAACATCAAGGGGGAAACTGCTAGCTCATCCATTTTGTTGTTCGGTTGTTCAAAAGGTTCAAAATACCAATTAGCTTGCTGGCTCCGAAATCTTTGATACTCTCAGATTCACTGACATTTTGAAACTCTTATTCATATCTGCCTAATGGATTTCAGATCGTGAACAAAGGGGTACCAGTCTGTTTAGCATTTGACCCGTTTTCTTACATGTTTTTATGTATTCAACATTTTGTGGCTAAAAATAGTTACATTCATGAGCTAAAATTATCTTTGCTCCCCCCCTTGTACAACTCCAAATTGAAGATTGTAAAAAGGACTTAAAGATATACTTAACAATTTTTTCCATTCTTATTTTAAACATAAAAGATCTTATTACGAGAATTTTTTCCCTTTTACTTTTCCATAGAACTTGGCAGAGTTTGGAAGATTCGATGAAGTAACCTATCAAGTATATATTTGAACATATATGATATATATTCAAAAATATATTATCTTAGTTCCATATCTATGTATGTATTCTGATATATATCCGAATGGGAGTACTAGTACAATACAGATGAGGCAGATTTTGTAAGGTTTTCTTACTACACTCTGGACATCCTCTGCTAGGCACGCTTCTTTCTTATAGATGGGTTTTGTTGTTGCAGAGTTGCTTGTTGTTTCTTAGTGAAGTCCTGCCTGTGACTATGTGGCCTTGAACCAGTTGTGGACAGAAAAGCAGGCTAGCCTCCTTAGGTAAGTCAGCATCCGGGTTTAGCCCCACCCCCCAGACTTACATTTCATAATAAACAAGGACCAAAGGCATCCCACTGGGCATATTAAAAAGTGGAAGGTGAAGCTGGCCTTCTGGTGTTCAAATCCTGGCTCTTCCATTTCTAATCTTGGTTCTTGGGACCCCACTTACAATAGATGGGATCTTGGGGAAGGGACATTACTTTGTGTCCTAAGTTCCTCCCTTTGAAAACATAGAAAAGACTGAGGCTAGCTCACTGGATAGTTCTACAGGTAAATGAGAACATACATTGAAGGATAGTGCCTAAAATGTCCTTAGGTGCTGAGGGAATACTGATCACCAGTGTCACAATAAGATGCACCAGACTCTGGGGGGTGGAGAGGGCACTGGGCACATTCAAGTCCTCCAGAGGATCAGCCCTACTATGAAGGGCTCTTCTCTTACTACAGTGGAATATTCAGAGAGCTTGGGACCTAAGAATTTATAATATAAAATATTTATGACCATTTTAAAAAAATGTGATCAGAAGACAGCTTGACCTATTCCTGAGTTTTCTGCAGTATAGTTAGAGCACAATAAAAAGACAACATTTAAACAAGCAAATGACAGCTGGTGTTAATAACAGTTACATGTCTAGAGGGAAGTTCTGGGAGGCATTTTGGGAAAAAGATCTGTCTCCCAGGGGGACAGAGGCAGACAGGATGAAGCTAATAACACAGAATGTATACCCAAGAACACTGTCTGACCTTTTTACAAAGTCTTCAAAGAGGATTCGGTGGGAGTAGCCCTGCCTGCGGATGCTGACTGTCTCCAGGATCCCTGTGGAGCGAAGCTGGGCCAGAACTCTGTCTTGGGAAAACTGCAGGGCCTTGCGGTCATCATTAGGCTTAATGCATCGTACGAAGTGAGGCTGTCCAACCACCATTTTGGAGAGTAGATCCATCAGAGAATACTAGCGGGAGAAAACAAACATGAAATGAGGGATGAAGCACCCCTCACAGGGACCTGCTGTGGCCTTTGGAACCGTGTGAGACTTGTGAAGCCTTCAAGATTATTAAGAAAGAACACGAAGCTAATGAGAGTGTATTGCAATATGAGTTCTCCCTACAGCTACCTGAAGGTTGAAATCACTTAAACAGCTGGTGCCAAAGCAGTGTCTCTATGGCAGAAACCCCTTTAAGGAGATGTTCTAGGTTAGCCTGGAATGCCCTCTACTATCCAAAATTATGAGAACCACCAGAGAGTCACCAGCAAATCAACCATACTGATATTGGTTACGAAGATGAGGTAGGAGAAGGGGGGAGAAGAGGAAGGGAAAGAGGAAGAGGAGGAGCAGGAGGAAGAGGGAAAGATTATTAGAGGAGAGGATTATGATGAAGGTCAACTATCACATACCTTGCAGAGAAGAAGAAAGAACAGAAACAACCAGCAGGGTGCTTGCGGGACAGGGGTAGATCCCTTAGGGTTGTCCATTGTTGGAGCTCTCAGAGGCAATTACAAACCGAAGTCACTCTACTTACTGATCAGAAGTGGTCTTACCCACTGACCAAGGTATGTTATTTTTCTGCTTTGGTATTTGGGGATCGGTATTTTGAAGACACAAAACTGGTTGGTATGGTGTCATATTTCTAAAACCTATAAGCTAGAGATTTGTTCTCTGATAGGGACACTGAGAATCTTTCGGATGACATCGCAGTCAAACACATACACACACAAAACACACATATATAATAAACACACATACTACAATACATATACAATACACACATATATTACACATACAATACATATACAATATACATACATACACAATACACACACATAATACATACACATTTATCACTTATATAATACACACATATACAATAAACATACAAAATACATACACATACATAATACACACACATACACATTATATACATATACATATATACATACATATACAACACACACATCCACAACACACACATGTAATACATGCATATACACCACACACACAATACACACATAATATACCTATGTATACCATACACACACATACACAATCACGCATAATATATATACAATATACACCCACACACAATACACACACATACACACACACCAAGGGTTACTAGGAAGACAAGAACATGGCTGATAATAAAAGGACAGATGCAGAAGATAAGGAAGAAATACCCAAGCAGAGAAGTTTAAGCAGGTGCCGGAAGCTGCTTGCTGGAGGTGCTGTCACAGGAATTGCAGCATTCGTGGAGTTCTGGACTCCAAGGCCTGAGGACCCCACCGCTCACACTGTGAGCTCAGTTCTGCTCTGCCTCTGAAGCACCACCAGCTTTGCTGGACCCTGACAGCTTTCCATTAAGGAACCTTCCTCAACCCACAGTGCTGACTCCCAAGTCCCGTTCTTCTGCTTGCTTGTCCTCCAGCTCATGACCCAGCTCCCCTATCCTAGCCCATCCCACAGAACACTTTTCTGTGCCAACTCTGTCTTACCATCTCACTCCTCTGTCCATGAGATCAGTTCCTACTCTCTCATGACAACAGCACCTCTGCCATGAAGCTGCCTGGACCATTTCTCCCAATGCATGTGATCTTTCCAAGAGGTCTCCAGTGCTGTTTCATGATTTGTGCAAATTGGTGGGAGGGTCCAGGTGTCTTATCTTTAATAGAAAGTGGGTACTTAACAGAACGCTTCTACAGGCATTGTGTTCTTACACAAAGGAAGTATTTCCCTAGATAGATGTCAGAAATTGGGGTGGCCAAAATGGGAACAATAGAGCAAGTGGGTCTTGCCATAGGTCAGTCAGATCTATAAAAGTGAAGCCAATGCTTTTCTCAACGTTCAAACTTGATAAAGCACCTTCTAGATTTTATTAACTGCTGTAGGGCAGGAAAGTGTTTCTTGCGGCTTTAAGGCCAAGAAGCTGCTCAGAGACTCACAACAGTCAGCAAAATGGACTGTGCACACGGCATTCTCTCTCTGCAGCTTCCTCCTCCCTCATAACTCTCTCTCCCTAGTTTTTTAAAGAGGGTCTCACTGTGGAGGTCTGGCTGGCCTGGAACTCCTTTATGTAGATCAGGCTGCCCCTGCCTCTCTTAACTGGCATTTGCACTGTGGTTTTATGGATTCTTTCATGCCTGGACCTCACATGGTATGGTGGTTCAAATAGGATGGCCCCGATAGGCCCATATATTTGAATGCTTGGACATTAGGGAGTGGCATTACTTGACAGGGATTAGGAGATGTGGCCTTGGAGGAAGTATGTCACTGGGGATGGGTTTTGGGTTTTCAAATGCTCAAGGAAGGAGTGTCTTTCTCTCCTTCCTGCCAATCCAGATATACAACTCCCAGCTACCTGTCCAATACCATGCCTGCCTGCATGCCATCATGCTTCCCATCTTGATAATAACGGACTTAATTTCTGAAACTGTAAGCCACCCAATTAAATGTTTTCCTTTATACCAGTTGTTGTAACCATGGTGTCTCTTCACAGTAATAGAATACTGAGTAAAACACATGGGAAGGCTGGGCTAGTCCTTTCCAGAAACAAGCAGAGCAGAGAAAAAGCAGTCTTCATACCCGGAAGTAAGAAGCCATGGTTTGTCTCTTCATGTTGGTGGTTTCTTCTGGATGACGAATCATCTCCAGGGTGTCTACCTTGTGGCAGAGGAAAAGGGAAATGGTTTCAGGGTATAAACAGGACATTCAGTTTTCAAAGCCTGAGAGGCTGCTAGTCAATAACCTCGGAGTGAAGCATTTAGGACACACTGTGTAGACTATAAGAAGAATTCTGAAAGAAGTTTTTAAAAAGAGGAGAAGGAGAGATGTGTAACATTTAAGGAAACTGGGCCAAGGCCTGTGAGGACGTGCAGTCGTAAAGACATGGACCCTGTATAGTTATGTTTTGGTGGGTGTGCTAAAACATTAGAAAGAAGTAACTTTTGGATGGAAGGATTTATTTTGACTTCTGGTTTGAGGGGACAGAGTCCATCATATTGGGGAGACATGGTAGTGGGGGAGACATGATGGTAGGGGGTCACTTGAAGGTGGAAGTATGAGGGGACGGGTTCTCATCTCCAGGATTAGGAAGCAGGCTGCAACCAGGCTAGTATTTCACATTCAAGGCCTATTCCCTAGCAACCCATTCCTCCTACTACAGCCCCTTGCTGAAGGTTCCACAACCTCCCAAAATGCTCCCAGCTGGGAACCAAACTCTTGAGCCTGTGAAAGACATTCTACATTCAACCCATAGCAGGCCCCAAGCCCAGCTGTACCACAATCAGGATAGCATCAGCTACATCCCAGCCATCAGACCCTGATGCCCAGCATGCTCCTACCACCGCCGCCACCACCACAGTTCCCACCTGCTCCCTGCAAGCAGGAGTTTGGGCACCAAATCAATGGGGAATCTTCCAGTGGTATAACCTGCTGCCAATACTCTCTGCCACTACCTGGGCTGATTGGAAGGAACTTTAGGATGAAAATGACCATAATCTTAGCTTGCAAGCAGCCTGTGTTTCCTTATCATAGCTCAGGAACAAAACCTGCTTTGGCTGGGGCAGTGCCTGACTGGCATTTCAGTCTGAAGGAGCTTCCTATCTGATAGAAACAGGTGACAAGGGTGTGACACACTCTCATCAATATGTGGTTTCTGCCCAGTGGGCTGCTGTCCGGGTCCATCCTCCCCACGGGATGAGGACATCTGCGGTCTTAGTCACAGAAATTGAGTAAGTGGGGGTTAAAGGGGACAGGGGATAATGGGGTCCAACTGGAGGTGAATATTAGAACGGAATGGAAAGAGCCACATCAGTTGAATTAAAAGGTCTAAATGAGCCTCCTGCACAGCTGGCAGGGTGTGAGCTGGGTGTAGAAGTTTCAGCTGTGCTGCTTTCCTGGTCATGGGCTGCATGCACTTCAGGCGTTAGCGGCTCACACCCAGCCTGCTCAGTGACGTTGCTGCCTGTCCAGTGGAAAGAGGAAAGGAAAACTGTGTTTCAGAGGAAGGCTGCTCTCATATGTGTGAGAGAAGAGGGAAAAGAACTCCATCGGCATCCCCGCCCCGACCCCACCTGCAGTGAGAGAAAAAGAGAGAGCATGTTGTCTTCACTATCACACGAAGGGCCGCACTGCAGATTTCCCATCATTCTCAGCGAAGGATAGAGCTCAGGCCTAGTAAGAGTTGGGGGTGAGCTAATCAGGTCAGGAGGGAAGACCCTGGCTACGGTCAGTCTTCAGCTCAATGGTAACTTTTGAGATTTTTTTCCTCAACCCTTTCTTCTTATTTTTCCACCTCACCTCATCTACACAACTTCTGAGAATATCTCTACCATTTCCGTTTACTTAAAAGTTCTCATTAAAGAAACACCTCTCAGGGGGCTGGAGAGATGGCTCAGAGATTAAGAGCAGTGGCTACTCTTCCAGAGGTCCCGAATTCAATCCCAGCACCCACATGGCAGCTCACAACTGTCTGTAATTCAAGTTCCAGTGGATATAACAATTTCATGCAGATATAGATGCAGGTAAAACACTTCTGCAAATAAATTTTTAAAAAATTTAAAAAAAAAAAAAAAAAAGAAACACCTTTCACTTTCCTCTAACCTTTCCTCTAATGTCCCCCATCCACACTTTTATTCAGCTTAACTAGTGAGCTGCCCCCACCCCACCCCCAATGAAGTTCCTCTGTTTCTCTATTAGCAGATGCAGATAGCTTGGCTGGTCCCTCTCCCCCAGAACACTAGCTTTCCCTCAGCATTTGGGAAATTGAACTGTTTAGAGACCTTGATGCCTAAGGCCCAATGTCTATCCATTTTATCCATTTGTGTGGGACAGGGATATCACTGTGTTGACCAGATTGTTCCTATAAACAGGTCTAGGAATTAGGATCCCTGCAGAAAGTGCTGGACTAGGATGGAAAATGACCTATCCCAAGAGCCCCCCCCCCCCCAGAGCTACCAGAAGAAAGATTCATCTCCCAGTTCAAGTAACTGGAACACACAGCTTCATTTGCATATGTGTATTTCCTGACTTTTATCATTTCTATGTGTCTTTTCAACTGCTATAAGAAAGACACAATTTAGCTATCTACCTACCTATTATATATTATCTATCTACCATTAATCTACCTACTATCTATTTATTATCTGTCTATCATCTACCTACTTATCATGTATGTATTGATCTATCATTTATCTACCTAATTATTATCTACCTACTACCTATCTATTATCATTTACCTATTATCTGTCATCTATGTATTATCTATTATCTGCATCTATCATCTATCTAGCACCTGTTTACCTTCTATCAATCTATCATTGTCTGTCATCTATCTATCCATCATCATCTATCTATCTACTCACCATCTGTGACTCTATCGTATATATAGATATTCATCTATCTGCCTGACTAAAATGTCTTTTCTCTTGGCATGCCTGACTTTTTGGACCTAGCATGAAGCTTTATGCCTGGGTATTCTGGTAATAGCTTGGAACTCATGGGCTTAAGCAATCCCATCTTCCCTCCTCAGCCTCCTGACAAGTGAGGTCTACCTACCAGCTGGTGTGACACTGTTTTGAAGCTAACTAAAATCAATCAACTACAGCAAAATGGAAAGATACAGAATAAAGCACCAATTCATACTCAAAAGCTCTAAGGTTGCTGTGGGCAGGATGGGGTCCCTGTCTGACAGCTCAACATCTGTATTTCTGAGTAATTGCAGAGAGCCTGTTCTTTGTTACCCACATCCTGGGAATGCTAGCACCTGTCTGCATTTCATTACCTGCATGCTTAGTGCTATATTTTCAGAGGAAATGGCTCACCATTGGGATCATTTCCCTTTAAGAACTTCAACAGCATAAGTCAGCAGGAGTCCAGCAAGCTCAGCTTTCTGCTGGTATGACTGTCCTGCCTGGTTCTTTGTGCACTGTGCTAGCTAACCTTCAGAGTTCTCATAAGTAACTTAACCCCTTGGGTCACAGACTGCAGTCCCCCACAGTTGATCAGGCTTTTATATGCACAGACTCCATGCACAGAATCTTAGAAGGCTGTCAAAACTCAAGAGACCCAGTATATTGTACATGGACTCATTCTACAATATTACGGAATTCTCAAAACGATTCTCAGATGCAAGAAGTTATTATTCCATTCTACACATGAAAAGTTAAGCTCATAGATTTTTAGGTAAGTGTCCCACAGTTTTGCAGCCAGGGTATACAGTGTCTAGGTCTAAAAACCATTCTGTCTACTAAGCCTTACTTCTTGTCACTATATACTGCCATCTACTTGGTTTGATATAACTTACGAAACAGAAGTCTGAAAGTATGCCATTATCACGAAGATTTGCCCCATCCATCAACTGAATTTACTCCACCATAGAGATATGGCCTCTAAATAACCCCATAAACCAAAGGAGAAGCTGAAGAATTTTCTCCTGGCCTGGGTAAGTGTCTACCATCTGCATCCTAAAACATCAGAGATGCCTCTAACCGTCTTCCTGCCAAGACTCTTTGTCAAGAATTTTTACTGCTATCAAGTGACAGACATGCCCAGCTCTTCTTAATAAGAAAGAGCCCTCCAGTACTGCACCTCTCAGAAGGCCCTGTGGCCTGCCCTGCCAGCAGCCAGGTGAATGCTGGTGTAGCCGAGGTACAGGATGTGGCCCATCTCCACCCCACCCATGTCTGTGCAAACAGCAGAAGCAGGAAGGCCTCTCTGGTCTTTTGTTTTTCTTCACTGAAACAGTTCATAAAGCCTAGGCAGGTCACCCCTTGACCTCCTTACTCCCCCAAAGGCATGCAGGTGCCTTGCCTTGGATTACAAGGAAGGACATGCCACTAAGAATGATGTGAATTAATTAACAAGGCTCGGTTTTATCCCCTGAGATTCTGCCTGGATGCTTACATAGTTTCCTTGTGCCTCTGGGGCTTCATTTCCCTTGCCCCAAGTCTGTCTTTGGAAATAGGGCTCTAAACCAGGAACTCTATGATGGGTGATGAGCATATAGTAATCTTTTAATCTTGCAAAGTCTAGCCTTATCGAGAGCCACTTCCATCATGTCCTCTTACATAAGGCAGTGTCCAAATGTTAGCTTTTTACTTTTGCTTTGTTTTTTGAGGTAGTCTCGCTAGCCCAGCATGGTCTAGAATGTAGGCTAGCCCTGTATCTGTGGCTCTGGTACTGGGATTATAGTTTGTACTCCCATGCTTGCCTCCTCTCTCTCTCTCTCTCTCTCTCTCTCTGTGTGTGTGTGTGTATGTAACTAGGTCTTCAAACGAACACACCACACACACACACACACACATTGAAGGTTAGGTATTTATTGTTTGGCTTTGGACAGTCTTGCTGGAAGCTAACCCTGTATTACCCTCTAGGGACAATGGTTCAGCATTGCTATTTACAGTGACTTTACTGGTCATAATTTTTACAACTAATGAGAATCAACTACATTTAATACAAACAACATTCCCAGAGTCTTGCTGAAAGCTAACCCTGTATTACCCTCTAGGGGCAATGGTTCAGCGTTGCTGCTTGCAGTGACCTTACTGATCATAATTTTTACAGATAACAGGAATCAACTACATTTAATACAAATATCATTCTCGTGTCAGATCAAGTTCTTAGGAGTACTTTAAACATCTCTCCCATGGGCCCACACAACCCATCATAAATGGTCCTGACATCTTGCCACAAAGGAACAAGATGAAAACTAGGGTATTCAAGTGGGTCATAATAGCAATGCAGACATAAAAATTATTGTTAGATAAAATCTTCAGAGTCCTATGTGTATAAGTAAATTTTTATTCCCAAGAAAGTAAGTATAAATATGTACATTTGTATCAATTCTGAAGTATATTTAATAGTATTATATGTGACCAAATTAGTTATTTCTTATTAAGTAAATTAATGTGTTATATAAATAAAAAGTAAGAAAATTCAGAGAAGTGAACTCCTTATTATATCAACAACCTTCAAGACAATTGGCTTGGGGGTTAAGACATAGTTTTTCTTATTCTTGGGGGATAAATCCAAAGACATGCCTGAAACTGTGGACTTCATCAAAACCAATAGATACTATGCCTTTCCCTATATACATCTGTATGACAAAATTTGACTTATAAAATAAGCACACTAAAAGATGAACTATCACAACTAATAATAAAATTGACAATTCTGAAATGATATTGTACTAGAGGTGTCTCCCTCACTTTCCCTGTAAGGAAGCTTCTCTTTTGGAATATCAAATTTGCCAGCATCACTATTCTTATGTTTGAGAGCCAACATTGGGTTAAAAAAGAAAAGATGTACTGTGGTCTCACAGGTGGCTAACAATGGAGACTAAAGGACTAGAGGGTGGGTAGTGTATACAACAAGGATTCACCATACCGAAGGATGACTCATATCTCATTAGAACTAAGAGATACTGTAAGAGTTCAGAGTGTCATGAGATGACACCACAATGAAACCCTATAAATTGATTATTTGTGGGATTTCCCACTTCATGTTTTTGAGTCATGATTGACCATTGGTGGTTAAAACCACAGAAAGCCAAACCACTGATGAATGGGAGAACTGTCTACACAGTAGACATCAATCACATGGTCCTTGAGGTCCTGTCTAGACATCAGTTGGGGGGGCAGCAAAACATCTAGATATTTATTATTTTATGGTTGGATATTTATGAACCCTCCTAACATGGGGTCATAAATATCACTCACTTTTAGAGGGCAGCAGTGGGTTTGGTTCTTTTCCTCCTTCCTGATTCTATCTGGTCTCACCCTCTGCGGGGTGGCAATGGTCTCACAAAAAATTGCTTCATCTCTTCCTAGGAAGGCTTCATTCTTGTGTCACTTTTCTTCATGTTAGGTATTTTTTTCTGACTATCAGGATTGTAATAACCCCACAATTCTAATTTTCTAAATTTTCAAAAGTCCCCTTGTTTCCTGAACATTGCCCATCTCTTTAGCGGTCTGTGTAATAGTCAGGGGCAGATGGAGAGAAGGAGTGTTGCTCACTCCAGCATTAGCTCCAAGACAACGTCCTCTCCTGACCCCATCAGTGGTACAGGTCTGCTGCTTACCTTGGTTCTCCCAGCACTGAAATGTGGAGGCAAAGATCTTGAAGATGCTGTGACCCTAGCTCTTGTTTGGGCCAAATTACCTGAGTAAAAGAGAAAACAAAACAAAACAAACAAACAAACACAAAACTTAAAATGAAGAAAAAGTTAAGGAGCTGAGTTATGAATAATTTTTTTCTTTTATGTCCTTGTAATTTTTTGAGTTTTCTGATTGGTAACCTAAGAATAATAAGAAGAAGGAGAAGGAGGAGGATGAAGGAAGGAAGGAAGAAGAAGAAAACTTTTCAGCTGGAAAGATGGCTCAGTGGGTAAAGGTGTTGGCTCTCTGACAACCTGAATTCAATCCCTGGATCCCACATTGGTGGAAGGAGAAAACTGACTACACATACACACACACACACACACACACACACACACACACACACACACACACACCATAAAGCCAAAACAATTCAAGTGGTTGAATATTGAAGACTTAAATATATTAGACTGGACTATAAAGTTTCCATAGGAAAAGTTTCATCTTTTAGTCTTGACAATGAGTATGATCTGATGACACAAGCTGAGCATCCCTCAATGTGAAAACCCAGTCTCCAAATGTTCCAAGAGACAAAAACTTTGAGCACTGAGAGGATGCCCTAAGTGGACCCACCCACCTCCACCATGAACTTTGTTCCATGCATAAAACTATACCATGATCATTACCTTGACTATTAGAGAGTGAACCCAGGGCCTCGTACATGTAAGTGTCGGCTCTTCAGCCCTGGTGCTGAACTATATCCCCCAGCTACATACATAAAAAACTACAGCTGGCCATTGTGGAATGTGCCTTTAATCCCAGCACCCAGGAGGCAGAGGCAGGCAGATCTCTGTGAGTTCAAGTCTAGCTTGGTCTACAGAGCGAGTTCCAGGACAGCCAGGGCTATGTAGAGAAACCCTGTTTCAAAAAACAAAACAAAACACACAAAAAAGTATTGTGTATAATGTATAAAATAGGGACTGGTGGTATAGTTCATATATATATATGCATATATGCATATATGTGCACATAGGTATACCTATATCACATATTTATATGTGTCTATGCATTAATAATATACACGTATATGCATATGGTATAAATTGCCTGCACGTACATGTACACATGTATGTGGAACCCAAATCTTGTGTTTAAACTAGGGTCCCATCCCCAAGACAGCTCATTACGCAGATGCAAAAACTCTCAAATCCAAATCTAAAATTTTGAAAATCCACAATCTGAAAGGCTTCTGCTCCCAGGCACTTGGACAAGTGACTCACTCAGGCTCACTGTTATTTGCTGTGAACAACTCCTGTAGGTCTTAAAGCAAAGTGTAGAAGGTGAGGGAAGATGGTGATCTCTCCATTGCCTTCTGTGGGCAGCAGTTAGTGAAAAGCAAGTTCCAGGAGACATGGGCCAGCTCCTGGCCATGCTCATTCCTGTGACTCACCTCTGAGGACTAAGGAGCCTCGAGGGTGCTCTCCTTCCGTCCTTATTTACCCTCCACCAACCCCAGTGTGTGAGAACATTTGTCTGCAGTTTTACTTTCGGAGTCTTTTGATTGTGTAACAGAATGGAAACTTGTCAATGCAAGGGAAGGCTGCGATGCATATGCAAGGCACTCAAGGTTTCAGTTTTAGCAAGTCTAGCACAGAGACGTCCAAATGTTTTCTGTGCTGATATCTTCAGAGGCTAAACTGTGATTAATAGCCTGCAAAGAACCCTTTGAAGCAGGATTGGTGACATCAAAGTCGTAATCCGGGGGTGGCAGGAGCTTTATGGGAAGCATTCTAACACATTTCAAAGGATTTATAGCACAAATAAACAATAGATGCCAGCCATGTGCCCTGCCACACACACCTTCCAGAAACATAACCTATAAGAATGTTCCATTTTCATTTATATGTAAATACAGTGTTCACACTCCTTTCAAGTGTTAAGCATCCTTAGTGCTTCACACAGGACAGCTCCTTCACAGCTGAGCATATCTTCTTGTGCTTTTGGGAAACTGTGATTACCAGTGTGTGTCCTGGGTAGGGCGAGGGCCTTGAGTAGAAACAGTAATGGAATTGAGATCCTATGCAGGAATCTGAACCAGGGCTCAGAGGGAAAGAGGCGGTGATCTGAAAACAGACTGGGTGGGCACTTTTAAAAAGTGGTCATTTCCTGACTGGAGGATTTTTCCGCCTTTAGTTACCTCTTGAGAACTGCCCCCGAATGCAGGGTGGTTGTTGTCAGTAATTCCACAGACTTCAGTGCCCTCTGCTGCCCCTGTGGGCTGTCTGAGCACTGGCAGTCCACAGCCAGCTCGGTCTAGAAATAAAAAGCTCACCTTCTGGTCTACCTCACAAAAGCTGTGCTGGTCCTCATTCTATTCTAGTTGCCAGCTTCATTTGAGGGAGTCTCCTGCCTGAGTGAGTGTGGTGAATGCACACAGCAGTGACAGACTTCTTCAAGACTCTATCGGTTCTTTCACTGGAAGTATCAGCAAAGTTCGCTGAGAGAGTCCAATAAACCCCCACTTCAAGCCCTCCCCTTGCTGGTTCCGCCCACCTGGCTGCTATTGGCTGATTCTTATCCAATCCTAGTGGAGGGTCTCACTTGTAAAGGCCTACCAGATTCAAACCTGGTTTCTCAACTAGTTCTGTCTCTGGCTTCCTTCTTCCTAAGCTTTAGTCTTCCTTACCGGCAAGAACCACGGGTTTCGCTGACAAGGTGTGGAGAGCTGGCTCGGGGAACACCTGTGATACTCTCTCTGATGGTCTTGGTGACTCAAATTTACTCCCTGAAGTTTCTAAAACGGTGGCTAATACAATAGGAGCTAATGTCAGTGGTTGTGTAAAAACATACTGTAATATTTCATATGTTAAAAAAGCACTTATTATCTTTCTATAACCATCTAATCTGCAACAAGGGCTAGTTGTAGATTTGATATGTGGCAATTTAAAATTGCCACAAAATTTGGACAGCAGGAGCCAGAATGTGTGATGTTAGATTTTGTTCCTGGTTAGCCTTTCTCCCTCCCTCCCTCCCTCCCTCCCTCCCTCTTTTCCTCCCTCCCTCCCTCCCTCCCTCCCTCCCTCCCTCTTTTCCTCCCTCCCTCCCTCTTTTCCTCCCTCCCTCCCTCTTTTCCTCCCTCCCTCCCTTCCTTCTTCCCTTTCCTTCCTTCCTCCCTTCCTTCCTTCCTTTCTCCCCTGGCATTCATCTATGACTTTAGGTGTTGACATTAATAAATAGGCGGAATGGGTGGACAAATTCCTTGCCCATTTAACACTGATAAATCTCTTTATCAGTGTTAAACAGATGATTTATTAGAGGCAGGGGTCATCACTTTGTGGAGTAAAGGAATCAAGAAGCAAACCAGCCTGCCTCATACTTGTCCAACTGAAAGAAATTCAGAGAACAGTATTCTTGAGGCGAGATGGGAGCTAGAGGCCAGGGAATCATCTGGGATCTCCTAGGACACTAGCACGTAGTGTATAGCATGGCAGAAACAAGAGAGCCTGCCTCACCAAGGCAGAGGCAAGTACTGGTTCATAACGCTGTCCTTTGACTTCTACACATGCACCACAGTGAAAGCAGCCAAGCACACACTACAGGCACACTAACAGTAACAAATAGATGAACTGAAAAAGAAGAAATACCCAGATAGCGAGCTTGCTGTTCTCTGACTATACAACTTCATCTTTATGATGATGTGGGAAATTCAGATCCCTAAAAGACAGCTTTCCTGGTTTTCTACTGCTTTAAATTAAACTTCTTTCTTTAGATATTTTATTTTATGGGTATGAATATTTTGTTTGCATGAATGTGTGTACACATATGTATGCCTGGTGTGTCTTTAACTGTCAAAAGAAAACATTGGATCCCCTAAAACTGGAGCTATGGATGATGTGAACCATCATTTGGGTGCTGGGAACCAACAAGTACTCTTAACCACTGAGGATCTCTTCAGTCCCTGTATTGACTTGTAATTGCCTCAAATCGAATTTCAAAGAGGTTTTTTGTTTGTTTGTTTGTTTGGTTTTTGATAATTAACAACTCTAGACCCTGTGCTTGAAGGAAGCCAAACCAAAGTTTTCATTGATGATCCAGACAGACCTGTCATTTTAATAATGTTCAAGTTATTCTCACTTCTGTAAATGTAGAATGCATGCAATTAATTACTGATTTAAGATAAGGAAGAGGAAGAAAAGGAGGAGAAGGAGGCTGCTTGGAATCATCCTTCTGTGAATATGTATTTCTCTCATTTGTTAATAAAGAGGCTGATTGGCCTATAGCAAGGCAGGATAAAGTTCAACGAAACAATCAAACTAAGGATATTGGGATGAAGAAGGATGGAGAGAGGGAGTTGCTGGCAGATGCAGAGAGAGCAAGATGAAAATAATGTACTGAGAAAAGTTACCAAGCCATATGCCTAAGCGTAGATAAGAAATAGAGGTTAATTAGGTATAAGAGTTAACAAGCTAGTAACAAGCTGAGCTATCTGTCAAGCATTTATAAGTCTCTGAGTGATCATCTGGGAACTGGCAGGTGGGAGAGAAATTTCCATCTATAGGAGGAGTAAGCAGTAGCAGCAGCAGCTGTAGTGAACAGGAATGCAGCTGTAGTGAACAGAAGTGCAGCTGTAGTAAACAGAAGTGCAGATGCAGTGAACAGAAGTACAGATGCAGTGAACAGAAGTGCAGCTGTGGTGAACAGAAGTGCAGCTGTAGTGAACAGAAGTGCAGCTGTAGTAAACAGAAGTGCAGATGCAGTGAACAGAAGTACAGATGCAGTGAACAGAAGTGCAGCTGTGGTGAACAGAAGTGCAGCTGTAGTGAACAGAAGTGCAGAAGCAGTGAACAGAAATGCAGCTGTGGTGAGCAGAAGTGCAGCTGTGGTGAACAGAAGTGCAGCTGTAGTGAATAGAAGTGCAGCTATAGTGAAAAGAAGCCAGCAGAGGTTATCTGCCTGACAGGCATTGTAATTTAAGGCAGACCCCAGGGGCTAAGTCACACTCATGTCTGAGTCCTTTCAGTTCAAGGCAGATATGGTACTTAATATTACTATCTAGGAATGCAG